TGTGTTGAAAGACAAGGAGGTGGTGGTAAAGGGTGGCTGGTGTGTGGACGTGGAGGTGGAGGTGGAGGTGGAGGTGGTGGTGTAGGGTGATTGGTGTGCGGATGCGTGTGTACTAGTGGATGTGTTTGTGTGTGGGTGAGGTGGTGGTGGTTGGTTTGTGGTTGTGAATGTTTGGTCATAGTGGATGTGTTTGTGTTTGGTTAAGGAGTTGGTGTGGTTTTGCTTGTGTTTGTGTTAGTGGATGTGTAGAAGAGGTGATGGTAGAGGTTTGGTGTGTTTGTGTGTGGTTAAGGAAGTGTTGGTGTGGTTGTGTAGAGGACGTGATTGTGTGGTTATGTTTGTGTTAGTGGATTTTTTTAGGCATGTGAAGGTGTTGGTGTGTGGAGCTAATACTGGTATGGATGTGTTGTGTGTGTGGATGTGATTGTACTGTTATTGTGTGTGTGGAGGTGGTGGCAACGATGAAGTGTATGTGGTGTGATGGTGTGGTACGCTAGGGCAGACAGGTGATTCTAATGAAGGCCCCAACCTGAACCGAAATGAGGTCGAATCCACTAGTCGATCAAAACGGCTCATGATAGAGAAGAAAAAAAATGAGGGAGCTGCTTTCAATAGGAGTCAGATACATTATTGATAGGTTCATGCACCAATGACCATGTCTCATCACAAGCAACATTTGTCCAACAGATTATGTAAATTTTGGAGACAACTCCAAAAATTTACGAGAACATGTCGTACTTGTTCTTTATAAAGTAGCTTGAAGATCCGATCGAGAGAGAGATTTTCTTTTTCAAGATGATAATCGTTGACTGTAGGGTGGTTTACCTACGTTATTTTCATAGGAGCAGTGACATTTGAGAGACACTTTTTTATTTAGATTCTTGTGTGACATTTCATATTTATTATTTGTTTATTTACTTTGGACATTTTTATTTGTTTATGATTTTTCATGTCGCTTTGAATATTTATGTTGCTTTGGACATGTTATTTTATTTGATAGTTTTTCATTTCACAACATGTTTTTTATTTATTTAAGTAATGTTATTTGTTTATGTTGGTTTTGCTGATTCATTGATATTTATGTGTTAGTCACTTCGATACTGAGATAATGGATGCAAATAGAGAAAAGCACAGAAAGAAAGTTGCAGTTGTAGTATGCTTAATATATAATTATTACAACTTGTATACAGAGCGCTCCCCTTGCATAACATTCTCATATATTAGCGGCAAATGGATTTGGGAGTTGTTTGTGAGTCACTTAACAAGGTTTAGCAATATGTTCTGCATGACACAAACGATATTCACCAATCTGTTGAAGGAACTACACAGAAATCATGGAATTTATGACTCATCCAGAACGACTCACGAGAGGTGTTAGTAATAACCATTTACATACTATCACATAATGAATCAATGCATGGAGCTATGGAGCAATTTTACCACTCTTTCGAAATGATTTGCAGCTACTTCTCAGTAGGGTTGAATGCACTTATCGGTTTTTCTTCACAAATCATAAAGCCAACAAATCTTACATTCAAACGAACCTCCGCAAAGGTTTTACACGATGCACAATATGTCATACTTTAAGATAATTTCTCTTATTTATTACATTCAATTTTTATATGAATATCGTAATTACGTGACCCTTCATTATCTTTATAGAATTGTATTGGAACAATCGATGGAACACACATTGATGTACATGTTCTAAATAATGGGAAGATCGCATTCATCAGTCATTGTGAGTCACCGACGCAGAATGTCATAGAGATATATTAATTCAACAAGTGCTTCACTTTTATCATGACCAGTTGAGAGGGCGGTGCGCAAAAAAAATCAAATTTTTAAATATGCAACACAGAATAGCAAATACAACTTCCCACATCCACCTATAGGTTCGCTTGAGATTGTGCTACTCTCCTAATTCTTTTTTTTCCTTCAACACTAATCATTCAATCACATCAGGTAAATATTATTTAGTTGACGTTGGGAATCCGTTGAGCGAGCCAGCAAAGTTACACGGGGCAAGAAAGAATTGTTCAACAAAAACAATCCTTCTTATACGGTGTAGAAATTTTGGTGTTTAGAAGAAGAAATGAGTTATACATTAATTATGATTTTCATGACTTCTCTCCACAATTATATTAGGCGGCATCCTTCCCGCAATGACATCTTCCGTATGGTGAACAAGGATCATATACATGTCCCTGCCGAGGCATATAAATACTGTCTTGGACAGTCTTTGCCACATAGCGAAAATGATATTCTTGAAACTTTTACCAAAGATATGGAAGGTGCAAGCGAGATGACAGAGTTAAGGAAATGAATTAAGGATGCGATAATTGGAGGGTGATTAGAGGGAATGTTAGTTTTTATATCTGGTAATTGTAATAGTTGTTGAAGACAACCGCTACATATATGATATTTCTAAGGCCAATCCTCATCTTTTTTTTTCTTTATGCATTTGATATTTATTGTATTGGTTTTTTTTGCAAGTTGTATATTTTTTTTTCTTTTTGAATTTCTTTTTTCTTTTGGTGTGTTCTGGAGGCCTATGATGAGACGTTTGACCATATAGGTTCTTTTGGATGGTCTGAATGTCGCTATTAGTATGTGTCATATGTGAAATCCCAATGAAGGCAATTAAGTTCTTCTTTTTTTTCGGTGCTACAGTTTTTGAGATTCTTCTAGATAGCCTTTTTTGGTTATATGCATATATGACATACGAGTTTGATATTACGTGGGTTAAAGGCAATTAAAAATTTATAAGGTATGTTATCTTGTAGTAATAGATTCGTTGGTTTATATACTGAGTTTTTTGAAACCTTAAAGCTGAATAAAATTTAAATTAATTACTTATGTTATTAATTTTTACTTGTGTTATGTCTGAGGACATGTTTTTTAAACCTTCAAAAAATATGAGCTTGAGGATTTCTGGTACATCCAGAGGATTGCATTGCTACTATGGACATAATGTTCTTTGCTCACTTCACGTCAGCCACATAGCCACGGAAAACGGTTTTACAGGTGTCCACAAAAAATCACATAAAACTGTGGTTATTTTTGGTAAATAGTGCTAGAGATTCCACCGCTAAGAGTGATCGGGCATGGAGAGCATCCCTAGAAAACGACTTAGCTCGTCATCTGCATTTTAAAAATAATTATTTTAATATTCTTTTTTCTAAAATTTTTGTAGTCATGCTACTCACTGTTTAATGAAGTGTCTTTTTATTTTATAATATTCTGCATTAATTATTTGCTTTTAAAGTATAGAATGTACTAGTATGAACAGTTTTGTTACAAATAATATTAGTATATAGGGGTAGAATGCTCATTTGTCCTGAAACAGCCGCAACACAGTTGTTTTTACACTACCAAAAACAAACAAACAACAACTTATCCACAACAGCTTATTATTAAGCTATAGCTGCCCCAAATAGACCCATCTTGGAGAATTTTGAGAATTGATTAGGACCTTTTTTATCGAAAATAAGAGGTTAAATATAGATTCTCTCAAATTTATGTATATTGGTGAATGTGGATTCGTCGACACAACTTTTAAGGAAAATTCTCCTTATATCGGTATGAGGCCGGGTTCTTCAAAATTTGAGATTTATATCATTTTGAACCATTTGTGTATGATTGAAATTTTCTTATATTTTAAGTGTATCGATCACTATTATTAGAAAATAAAGGGAACCTAAGTATGAGTGTATTAAATTTATTAAATAAAAAATGAGCATGGATGAATATTTAGCTTTTAGAATTCAACATTGATAGTAAAATGGAAAAGTGCATAAGAATTTTATATGATGAAATGATTGAAGGAGAAAACTTTATTTTTACGGAATTGTAATATCCTAGGGGAAAACTTAATTTTTATAAAATTATAATTAGGTCATATATGCTATATGAATCCAAGTGTTGTTTGATAAAAATGTCACTGATGGCTAAGTTGAGCATGTTAAAAATGTGAAGTTAAAGTGAATAAGTGACAAAACTAAAAAAAATATAATAAAAATTATTATACTAAAATATAATTGGAGTTGAATGTATTAAAGATAAGCTAGTCAAAATAGAGATGGGTAGCTAGTAGATCTACAACAAATAGATAGAAAAATGCACATGTTAAACGAATATGAAAAAAATAGCGTCAAAGTACAAAGGAAAAAAAAGTTGATCTATTATGACAGTAGTTGTCCAAAATGACTTACAAAACATAGGTTTAACATCTCAGTTAACACACAATATGAGTGAATAAAAAATAATGATGCATAAAGTTGATATCAAATAATTGGGATAAAGCTGATAATGATGATGCACTGTACCACCAATAGTCACTTTAAACCAAATAAAGTGCTTTGACAGAGTGACTCTTATTATTGCTCACAATAAGTTTCATGTACTAAGATTTGCTAAATTATGTCAGCATAAATTAAGAAAGCATTTTCCTCCTCCTAGATAAAAGAAAACAAAACCATATGATTCTCTGAAGTTAATGCTAATATTTTGTTTGTGGGTGATAGCTACTTCGGTCGATAATGGATTTTGAAGTTGTTACCAAGATCTTGGATTTAATCTTCAACTACATTATAAACTCTCGACCTGAGACCGATTCCGCAGGCCAAGAAAGATTTCAACGCAAGCTTGATTCCGAAAACAAAGAGGTGTTTGCGTAGGGAAATCCAAATTAGGGTTTCACAATAAAAAACAAAACAAAAAACAGAGATAAAATTCCAGGGAACGAATGTGCATTTATCTCTTCTCTGGCAATCACAACAAACAAACAAAAACAAATAAATAGCAAATCAATGTATCACAAAAATAAAATGTAAGATTGCGTGACTATAAAAAAATAATACAAATTAAGAAACGCCTAAATGTCCATCCATTTTCGACCCTGCAACCAGAATCCAGATACAATCGAGCACCATAAATTTTGCTCCAAGCTAAAAGGGCAAAAAATTCAAACTGAAATTATGGAATGAAAATTAACCCACATTGTGTCGTGTCCCCTGGTAAATTTTTCCTGGGTTTCCGAGGCCGGCCAGGAGCCACGGCTTGGCAGCGGAGGAATCGCCTGGAGAAGAGAGAGTGGAGAAACATGTCGACGATGGGAGATAGTGACGAGAGAACGACATCGTCTTAGGGCATCGTTTCGTTAGCCCGGAGACGGACAGACGAATCCCGCCGGCGGAGGATAGGGCGGCGGGAAAGCCTAGCATCGTTCATCCTAACGCGCAAAATCAACTTGCACACATGATAAAGTTCCTTCTCGGAAGAGGCAAAAAAAACTTCCACGTGTAACTATTTATTATCTGCTAATAAATAATTCAAAAGAATAACAAAGTTTTTATGATGGGATTTTTGCTTGCCTAAATGAAGGCATACAATCTAAATTTTACTTTTATAATCTATATGGCAACAAATTCAATTTTATATTAGTAGATTTAATAAACTTTTAAAATTTAAATTTAGTAAATCTTAAAAAAATTTAATCTTAAAAGTTATTTCACATGGAATTTAATGAATGCAATTAAATCCTACGAAATTACTTGGTAATCTATATGAGCATTTAAAATTTTATGATGTTTGTTATAATAAAAAGTTATAATTAAAATATAATAATTTTATTATTATCATAAAAATTAGAGGCTTTCACATACAAGCTACCTGATTCCTATGTATTCACATATCAAACATCTAATCTTCAATTTTTAAGTATAGGCCACCCCATCTTAAGTTTCAGTTATAGGTGGGGTGGCCTATACATAAAAATCGAAGTTTAGAAGTTTGATATGTGAAAATATAGGAATCAAATAGCACGTATATAAATATCCCAAAAAATTAATTATTTAATTTAATTTAAATTAATTAATTTAATTACCATTTTATTTTTTATTATACTAATTAATAATTAATTATTTATTAAGCTATTTAATTATGAAAAAAATAATTCAAGTAATTACTAACTATAAAATTATTTAATAATAATCAATTATTAAATTATTAATTATTAATTATATTAATTAAGAATGTATTTTAAATTGATTAACTATTAAATAATTTAAATTTTATTTTTTATTTTTTTATTAAACAAGTATTAAATAATTATACAAAAATTTATCTAATAATAATTAATTTGATAATGTATTAATTAAAAATTAATTGTTAATTAACTAAAATTAAAAAAATTAACTTACATAAAACTGAAGTAAAATAACAATCCCATCTCCTTTCCCTTTTCTATCATAAACCCTCGCCTACATCGCTCCCTTATCCCAGTTTAGCCCAAAGACTCTTCAATTAACCCTGTCCCTGTTTAACCCAAAATCATCACTTTCGTGGATGAACACTCTCAATACAGTCACAATTAGAGCTAACTGGGAAGACAAGTGAGGGATCCTCACAATACAGCCGTAAAGACCCGAAAAGTGCATCTTTCTTCTTTTTCGCATTGCTTTTGCACGAAAGGAGGAAGGTAACTTCATATCTAACTTTTTTCATGAAATGTTCGTCCTAGATTCACTAAATCCATTGATTCATTAGATTTAATAAATCCAAGACTTATGGCAAAAATCAATAAATTCCAAATTTATGAAACTGCAGCTTTATTTCGTCCAAACTGGTCGTCTATCAGGATTTTGGTCAAATCCAGGTTAAATCCTACATAAATTTATTATTTGACAACCTCTTAGAGTTGATCGAGTCAGTTGCAACTATTTTAATAAAAGGATGTGAAGTTGCTTCATAGAAATGCTATCATTAGAAAGTTGGTAATGTTGTAGTAGTTTGTCTATTTGGATTAGTTGTTATGTCGTAGTTGTTTCTTAGAAAAAAGACTATAATGCACTTATAGATATGTATTAGTTGTAAGTTTGGCTTTTAAACAATAATTCTAATAGAATAAAAAAATTAGCAGCTAAAAGAGAAGTCAGAGGTCTGTTTCAAGTACTACATCACTTAACAAATAATAACACGATAATAAAGATTAAAATAATAATAAGTAATGATATCATAACATTATCTTTCATGTCCAAACAATCAAGTTTTAGGAGAATTTTCTTTCAAAATTTTCTTTCCTATGCATGGCACTATCCGAAGTGAATTCCTCACTATCATCGACCTATAAAAAAAATTGCAATTGTCAAGTATTCTATTTCTTAGATACCTATAAAATCTTCTCTCATAGTTATATTTTTGTCTTGAAGTGTACTCAAAACATTGCATACTGCAATTGCAGCATAGAAGTCTTGAAACCTTTGAATTCCTTGAACTCATATTTCTTGATAATGCAATATTTAATGTTTACTAAAGAAATTAGAGTATGTGTGTGATAGAATCAAAGTCAACATTAAAAAATGCATAAATAAAGATATATTTGTTGCATTTGCACGTTTATTACCATACTCACATATGTTGAAAAATAAAACAATTTCATTATTTGGAAAACAAAGTTAAATTCCATCAGAGAAGAATCGAATGTCGAAAGAATGACTAAAATGAGAATCTTTGAACAGAGTTGTGGTTGGTGATGGAGAACAAAAGCCCTAAGGCTTTTCTTTAGTGGATGCACAGGTATATCAGGGTTTTGCTAAGTCGCTAATTTCATGAACGTACTAAGGGCAACATCGTCTTTTTTTAATAACACCACGTAACTCACAACGGACAACGGCTCAACCCATCCATTCTCAATACATGCTTCCTTTCACACAATTCTCTGAAATGTCACGATAAAGAGACTCCCCAAAAAACCCCCTTGGTGATTTTGAAAACATAAAGCACCTTAAAAGCTGCCCCAAATGGGACCTTATACTACTATTACGAAAAAGTTATTTGTATTTATTTCTATATGAAATTTTTTTTATTTAATTTAATTTGATTTAATAGTGATATAGCATTTCATAAATAGTATTAATCAATGAATGAATTATTATTACTCACGACTTATGGAATTCCAACAAATAAAAAAATTTAACTATTTATTCTTGCATACTAATTAATGAATGAATATTTATTACTATAATTCCATTATTTTTAATTCTAACCATGTATTGTATTAGTATTATTATTATAAAAATATAAAAACTAGTTAAGAGAATATGCGACTCTTTCAGGGTGTTTGGTTGCGACCAAGACTTAAGTAAAATAAGATTTAGTGAATCCAAAGAAATTACATTTATCAAATTCAGATGATGTTAAATCTGGAATAGTGTTAGATTCAATTAAGCTTAAATCCACTATTATATGTTTGGCATTGTACATCAAAAATGCATCTACACAAATCTTGGTGATAAATGATTGGAGACAAAGAACATGGACAACTCGCCATGGGATCGGTCAATCTGATAGCCCAACCAAATGAAGAAAATGAATGACAAAACAACTACTGAAGGGACACATCAGTGTTTACTTTCCAATAACTGTTATTACGGAAATCAACATTTGCTCAGAATGAGGTTCTTCAGTAAAAATACAAAGATTGAATGTAGGCTTCTTATCAGATTATGATGATTCACTATTTACTCGATGAAATATTCATGCCCAAGGATGATGTGTCTCTACATTCAGTCTCCACAAAGTAGGTAATCGATAATCACTAGGTTGATTGAAAGATATTCAGTCAGTCGAATGAATCAAGGCTGGCCAAATGAAATCCAGGAAACCAAATTTGGTAGTTATAAATATAAATCAGTGTTTAAAGTAGTTACTGAAGTATAGAGGTGCTAACAGTGGTTACATGATCAAAATAAATGAGATTTAGTTATAAATGTGTAAAGGTAACAGCTCACTAATTATAGTAACATCCTCCTTTTAATAGGGACAACCATGTAAGCTACTAGGTCCTACTTATAACTATATATGGGAGGATCTTTTTAAAGAAATAGGATTTTGAATGGAATTCAAACTATAAATATAAGGAGAGTTTGAATCTTCTTTTTTTCTATTTTTAACCCAATAACGCTCTATTCCTTGGATGCAATCTACAGAAAAAATTAGGATCCAACATCCTAAAAGGTGTGGTGAGCGTGGAATCTTTTCTTCTACAAGAAGAAGAGCTTGTCAGGGTGAAGGAACACATCAAGGATAAATCTCGAATGTGGAATCTATCCAAGATTGTGTACAACAATAAATCTAGGGACTCCGTGACTGAATGGCCTGACAAATTGTGGAGCTAGCATGAGTGTTGCTCAATGGAAGGGCACAACCTCTCCCACAACCAAACCTACCAGCAAGTGAAAGAATGCTTGTACCACAATAATGTCATATCTATGAAAAGGGAAGAGTCGCAACCAAGAGCAATAGAATTATATCATTGGGTGGAGAATGCATTTGTCAGGCATATTGTGGAAGCCAAGCCACCATAAAAGTTTAAGGTTCCTACATTGGAATCATATAAAGGTCGAAGTGACCCTGCTGACCATATTACATTCTTTGGGTCTGTAATCTGTCTTCTCAAGATTTCCAACGCATTAAAATGTTGGTGTTCTATATCATGCTGAGAGATTCCACCCTCTCAAGTGATTCAAAGGACTTTCTAAAGGAATTTCTAATTCCTTCTGACACTTCAAGAAATTAATTTTGACGTAGCTTGCGAGCGCTCAAAAGCCACAAAAGGATTCATATTGTTTGTGGTGTATAAAATAGGGACAGAATGAGAACATACAGACATATGTTAAGAGGTTTCAGAAGGATATTCTTGAGGTTTGAAACCTAGTGTCGATAGTCGCCAAGGCAACACTAGCACATAAACTGAAAAGTCTGCAGTTCTGATACTTTTTGCGTTTAAGGAAACCCAAAATATTGGCTAAACTCTTGAAGTTAACTAATAATCATATTGTGGCTAAGGAATATATGAACCAACTGATTTCCAAATTCAAGAAATTGAATCGACAGTCCGGCAAGAATAGCTCGAAGGATGATGGATGAAGAGAGAAGGATGGCCCTCATCCAAAATGTGAGACAGGCTACTCCATCCAAAGAAATAAAGAGGACAAATGAGACAGACACAGACGTAGCCAATCAAATAACTGATCTACAGGAGATCAAATGTCATCCAGAGTTACACCACTGAGTTTCTATGCTAGAACTTGTAGACGCAATAGAAGACAATGTGTATTTCTGCAAGGCAACTCCAATGAAAATCGAAGCTTCCCTTCAGAACCCTAATAAGTATCATCAAGACCATAGGCATGATATTGACGAGTACAGGAACCTTCGTAGTCTAGTAGAGGAGTTGGTTTAGGCTAGAAATTTGAAGGAGTTTGTAGCCTAGAAGCTCACACTCT